ACCATAGTTCATATATACATACTATGACATATTCGTTTTTATAATAAGAGAAAATGAACAGAATTTAGAACAAAGAAAGTAATTTAAAATATTAATTTTCATCTTAATTTTTATTTTGAAGCGTTTTTTCCGAAAATGAATTTAATTTATCACAAAATAAATAGTTCGAATTAGTTAAAATAACAAAGAAAATTTTATAAACAATTAATTGTTCATTTAACATAATTAAATTTGTAATCAAACAATTAATTTCAAATACTATTCAAAATGATATCTAAATAAATTAATACAGTGTGTTTTTTATAATACAATTATCTATTTGCAACGATTAATATATATTTTTTTACTATAGTTTATCGCATTACTTAATTATTTGATATTTAATTAATCAATTTTTTCTTTAAATTTTTTTATTTTACACTTATTTACTATTGTTATCTAATTTCTACTCTTATCTATTTTTATTAAAACTCTACACTTGTGAATAATTTAACATTTTAAAAGAATTTCATAGGCAAATTGAATTATAAATATTATGTAATTATATTACATACATTTTTTTAACCACATTATAATTTTTCTATCGATGCTATAAAATAATGCTTTTATTAATTTTAAAATGATTTTGACATATATTCAGGTAACATATTTTATCAAAATATAAAAGAATAACTAAAGAGAAAAATCTAATATATTTCTAATACAATAGACAATTTATAAAGAATATGAGAATTTTGTTTTTTAGTCGTGATAAATTATGGTAAAAAGTAATATTACTTGTTAAAATAAATTAAGTTTTTTAAATAAAGATTTACCCTTTTTCATTGAAAATTTTTTAAGGATTAGCTAAAAATATCATGCAATAATATTTAGGTAAATATGTATATCTGAAAATGGATATCTACTTTTCATTTTATATTAAATATCAGAAAATATGAAAGTAATTCTAAATATGTCTATTTTTACTACAACTAAATAAGTTTAATTATGTCTAAGCTTTTGTAATTTAATTAAGTCATATTTCATTTAATTTTAATACTAAATTAAGTATTACAATATTTTAAATTAAATCATTTAATAGTTAACTCAGTTAATAAATAATACTTTTTAGTTAAATATATTTGAAGTTATAATGCAATTAATTTTTTCAATAACTTAAAATATATTTAAATTTACTGCAATCTTAACAGGAAATCGTGTATAAAATTTGTTTTTAAATTCATCTATATTCATAAACATCGTAATTAATAAATAATTTTATAATTTTTTAAAAATATTTGATTTTAATATGGATATTAAAATTATAGAATATAACAGACAAACAAAATAATTACAAGATCGTGGAAGCGTAAATTAATTTTTTTTCGTTTTATTTTTTTAATTTAATTGACTTAAGAGAATAACAACATGTTATAAAAATTTTTGAAAGTCAATCAAGATAAAAATAAGTATTTATTAATCTTTCGATTGAAAATTAAATTATAAAATAAAGTGATAATTTAGAACTATCATATTCATAACTACAGCATGTTGCATTATTCAGCGTATCTTTGTATATTTCTTGTAATTTTCTTAATAAATAATGCCATAGCAGTAAGTACTATTAAATTTTTTTATCTACTTTTTTTTCTTTTTTCGATTTATAATACGAACATATAAATATATCTAAAATTAATCGCTTATATGTCAGAATAATCATTTTCTTTTAATACTAGAGCTGCATTTTTAAAAATCCTAATTTATTAATAAAACAAAATAAAAACAACGAATTTGCTAAAGTAAATTTTATTTAAATAAATTTATTATAATTTTATTATTGTACTTGAAACAATTTCAGGATGTTACACCAGAATGTCATAACATAGTCCTTGTAAGATGCATACATGTAACGGATCCTCTTGCTCACCAAAGATGTGTTGTATGTAGCATAATATATATATATATATATATATGTATATGTATACATTGTATTTATTGTATAAAACATTTAGAAATCTATTTCTTATATGTAGAAAAAGAATGAAGATGAAATTTGCTTTCCAAGTGGCACTCGTACACCTTAAACTACTTTACACATGTATTTTCCAATCAAGTGCATCATTAAGACACTATTTTATTATTTTATTTGATGGTTGAGTTTCTCATTATATAATTATTAATAAAGTTAACATACTTTTTATTTATCGTTTGTTAAGTAATTCATTAAACGTATTTCTCACGTAATTATTACCAAATTATTACGTATATATGGAGTAAAATCAATTTATTCCTTATTTTTATTTCACGAATAATAGTTATATAATAATTTGTATAGTTAAAATCAGATTTAAAATATTTTAAAAGGTAAAGTTACATTAAATTTATTAATTTATTAATAAGATATTTAGAATTAAGCCGAGTTAAAAAATATTATAAAATATAAAAACATAATAATACAACAATTTATCGAAGAAGGTTTTATAAAAGTTAAAGAAAATTTTAAATAAAATAGATTTCAATAAAAAATAAGAGTAAAATTTTGTCAGCATTGTATATAAATTTATATGAATTTATCATTTTACGGAATTATCTGCTTCAAAACACAATTAATTAAATATTTAAATTAACTTTGAATTAATATATGTAACATAAATTTATACATAATGTATTATTACGAATTTTGATAATTTATATACGATAAAGAAGTTCTAAATTACAATAGAGATTTCTCATTGCGAAAGATATTCGTGAAAGTGTTTGCTTGTATTGTTGAATTTTATGCACATACGCATGTATGAGCGTGTATTAGCAGTATTTAGACTCTTTCTCTCGCTCTCTCTCTTTCTCTCTGTTTCTTTTTATTTTGTTATCGTGCATGAGTATAAGCGACGTGCTTTCCCTTTCTGAAGGGAAATACACTATAAAACGCGATCCTTACCTCAATTGCTATAGTCCATGGATAATTGGCAATATTATTAAAGGGACGCCTATTAAAACGTCTATTTCGAAGTCACCAGCGTTTTTATTACATTTAATCTTCCTACAGCTGTGGATTTTGACCGAGTTTTTCCTTTCCTTGAGTCGTGAATGGTATTTGAATTTTGTTTTTTCAAGTTTCAGATGCTCATTCGGCTTATTATTATATCACTTATACTACTTTACAACGCTGTTGTCATTACAGAAGCGCCGTAGCCTTTTTATACACTATGACCATGTTTGACTGTCAGTAGAATTTATTATATTATTCATAAGTTTTGTACACGCAAATATTTTTAATATACCTTATTCAATAAGATAGAATAATTATGTATGAATTCGAATAATATCGAATTTCGATTTATAAATACCTATTAATAATTTCATCATATAAATTAATTTTATATATTTATATATATACATTTTTTATCTACAGTACTTAAAGTCGTTTTAGTATTTAAATTAAATTTTTGTCATTTTTTATTATATAAGATAAATTTTATAAGAATATAATATCTTTGTATCTCTAATATGAACGTTTATTACTTATTTAATTTTTTTTTATACATACATACGAATCTTGATCTGGTTTGGTAAAATTTGTGTCACAATTAGGGACAAAATTGACTGAAACTACAAGTTTATTCAAATCGATACAACATTTTAATATCAAAATAATTTAATACTTTTGAATCTTATTATGTACAACATTGCCTTTCTTACATTTTTCAATATATTTTTTTTATAAATTTGCATTATCGTATAATAACTAAAGATGAATATATTGAGTCGTAATTATACTTAAATATTATTCATTAAATGATTATATAAATGAAAGGCGATTAAGATCTTTTAAGATCTAAAGATACGAATAATTAAATCTATCAACAGCAGAAGGTTTACGGCATTTACATATGACATTATGTACGGTATTAACAATTATATACGGCATTTAATATTTATAACTTAAAAATTTAATAATATATGTAATTTAAAAGCTTTATATTAATTTGTATTTTTTTCAAGAAACATAAAATTTACTTCTTTGTAAATGCAATTCTAAATATAAAATCATAATCGAGTTTTCTTAATGTCGAACATTCTTTTAATCAATAATATACAATAAATTGATGAATAAGATAGAAATTTGAATAATATTTTAAGTAGATATATAATGTCGAATAAGAAAAGATTTTAAACTGTACAAGAACAATGGCTTATTATATGACATTTGTTTAGAAAATGTTTGGTATGAATAATTTTATAATAACATTTTTTATGTTTCATTATTAAAAATAAATAAATAAAAAAAAGAATGAATGAAAAGCAAATAACAATATAGAAAAGAAAAAGAAATAAGTTATTTTTTAGAAATTTAATAATTTATTTTTTAAGAATAATTTATTTGAAATTATATAAAATTTTTAAGTAACATAGGGATATTCATTTAATAAAATAGATGAAGAAGAAATGAGAGCGAACAATGTGGAAAACTACGGATAAAATTCAGAAATATTGGGAAATTATAATTTTAAGAATAATAAAGAATTATGAATCTTCATATATAATAATTCCATTTTAATATATGTATAGTATAAATTTGATGCATATTAAATATTTTGTTCCTTTAAATAAAAATATTTGGCTAACTTTTCATTACGTTAATTTAATTTTTATATCCATATAATATATATATAAATATAATAATTATTATTACATAGTATATTTCATTATAAAAGATTATAAAGAATATATTATGGTAACGCGTTGAAATTATATGATTTATTAAAAATAAAATTTAAAATTCAATTTATATAAGAAACAATTTATTATTTTTAACATTAGTTCTATATAATGGTCAATATAGAAAACAATTTCTTTTAAATAATGATTATTATATTATATGATCGCTATGAGTTCGTATAATAAATAAATATATAATATATGTTAGTATTTTATATAAATAAATGATATGTTTGTATGAATTTGATGTTGATAAAATTTGAGTTTGATACATATTAATAAATGATATGTACATACGCATTTTTACCTGCATCAAAATTTTATTACAGTTTTAATGAAATTAATGTGTGAAAATACATTAGTATAGACGTCTGGTACTCCTGCAGCACAAAGATAACTCATTGAAAATATACCAAAGACTCTATAGTTAATGACCAATGGACTTCCACCATCTCCCTATAAAGGATACAAAAATATTTAATTGCATAATAAATTTATTATAAATAAATAAATAAATAAATAAATTTAATTGCAGCATAAGCAATATATAATTGATAAATTAATTGTAATGGCAAAATTTGAAGTTAAAAGGTATATGAAATTTTTGGTTTTAAAATTTGAAATTTACACCACAATATAAAAAATTAAAAAATGTAAGTGCGAAAACTTACAATACACGGGCCCACTCCTGAACTATTGAAAGCACAAAATTGATCATGATAAATATTAATCGGAAATTCTTTTTGACAAGAGATAGGATTAATGATCGTCATCGAGGCTTTTTGCAATATTGAAGCGTAATTAATTACTGGATGTGTTATTGTTCCCCAACCAGAAATAATACCCATATCACCATTTTGAATATTTCTGTCTGTAAGAGGTATAGAATTCTGAAACCTGTTAAACGCTATATTACCATGAACCTGAAAAATCAAGGATTTTTGGCTAATTATTTAACTTAGTATATTTTACTCTATACAAATAATTTTTGAATTTTTGGCTACATAAATTAGCATATTTGTTCTTTCAAATCATAAAAAATTCATGAAAATTATAACCATATAATTAAAATGCGTTAAAAATTGCAAATTTCGTAGACAAAGTTATATTATCATTTCAATATACAATTAAATATTTTTATTACTCGAATTCATAAAATTTAATTTGGATGTTAATAAATAGAAATATTTCTAATTTTTTAAAATAATTTTTAAAATTATTCGAAATTTACGTTTATGATTAACATTTTCAATATTATTTTTTTTAATGTTTTAATTTTTTCAAATTTAATTTTCAAATATATTTTCGAAAAAATTTCAACTATTTTATTCTTATAATTTTGTGTTATTGACCTGAATAACAGCAATATCATTATTTGGAGTTTGCCTATTATTAAGGTGTCCTGAGTATTTCGGATGAATGAAAATTCTTCTTGGAATATATTCAGACGTAAATTTATGAGTATAATTTGTTTCTCCTGCATTGATTTTTATATTTGCGTGAGAAATAAATTTATTATCAACACAATGAGCTGCTGTTAAAATGTGCTTGTGACTGATAATTGCACCACCGCCAATAAGCCAATTATCTGTAATACGTCTTAAGACTGCTTGATACGGGTATTCAACTCTCGTTACACCTTTACCACCAACAATTCTTGATAACTTACAGTAAGCTGAAAAAAAACATCGATTATTTTGAGATAATACAGAAATAAATACAATATATCGTCAGTATAATATACTATTTTTAAAATTAGTTTGAAAAAGAATTTAAATTTATAACCATATTCACATATGGAATAAAATAATATTATTAATGTTTCTTTATATATATATATATATATATATATATATATGTTATATATAATTATTTATTTATTATAAATAATTAAAAACATCTTATGCTACTTTTAATTTTTATACTTCTATTTTTTACGATATTTTTCGATTTTTATATACTATTATTTATATTTATATAATTTTATAAATTTTTTAGGGTCTAGTAAATAAAATAATAACCAATGAAAAAATTGAAATTTAATTTACCAAAGCTAAGTATAAAAATTAAGTAAATTATAATTTTGAAGAACATTGTGACAATTGAATATATTTTAATGAAAGCTTGAAATCTTTTATACAACAAATACGTAAATTGCGAATTGAATAGTACCTTATTTTTCCTTCAATATCTTTATTTATAATATTTTTTTTATTTACATTATATAGTAAACTAACATATTTGTAATCGATGAATGAAATTAAATATGTGCTCTTATTTACATAATTTCTAAAATTAAATTTAATTAATAATTGACAAGATCTATTACTTATAATCATTAAATATTTATGATAAGAATCAAATCAATCAAAGACATATAGTAAGAAAATTATTAACGCAAAATAAATATGGATAACAATGTATTTACATTTCAATGTTTAATGGAATAAATTTAGCATAAAGTAATTTAGAACTAGAAATAATTTGTTTGAAAATAAAATAATATAAAGTTTTTTTAGAATTTATAGCAACAACCATATATATACAATATACATTATTTATTACATATCATAATTTAATAATTGAATTATAGATTTTAATTATTATTTATTACTATCTCTTATAATTAATAATTGATTTCTAATGTACTACGATAAAATACTACGTATAGATTTCAAATATATATACAGATATATAATGTCTGTTTAATGATGAAAATAAATTAAATTTTTTAGCTTAAAAGTGTTACACATAGGCGATAAACTAATATTAATAAATAAATAATAATAAATGATTAATCAAAAAATAATATTTAAAGGAGAAACGTTGATTGTAAAAACAGTAGTGTGCACATATATATGAATAATTGGAATATTAAAAAGGAAATTTTAATTATAATTTAAATTTAAAAAGAAGAAATATAATAGAAGAATACGAATAAAGAATAATAAAAAGTAAAAGAAAATAAATTCCTATACACAGAAAATAATTTTGCAACAGAAAAAAATCTTAATAGAGAAAATAACTTATAAATTATGCTTACTGAAATAATGACTGACAATGATAAAAAGTATATTCAGTAGAAATAAACTTTTACAAAGAAAATGAAAAGTATTACAAAATTAAAATAAATTAGGAAAAGAATAAAATAATAAATTCTTATTAAAAAATCTCTTAAATTATATATAATTAAGAAATATAAAGAAATTAAATTAATGTATAGATTTTAAAAAGTACTAATATTTCTAAAACGTCAAATTTTTTCTTCAGGTTTTCTGAAGCAACTTAATAAGAGGATCGAGAATGTGTAATGATCGAGAGATGTGTAAATTTTTTATTTTTATTTAGTTTTGTTCGTCATTACAAATTTCAATTTTCTATGTTTTTAGGAAAAAATGTCTCTTTTTTTACTTTATATAAAATATATTTAAGTAACATTCCTTTTTTTTCTTTTGTTTATGACTTCGTTTTAATAATATTTAACTTTATTATTATTTATTATTTATATTTTTTATTCGTATAATTTGAATTCTTACATACTATAAGAATAATATTTTGCAATAAAAAATAATATAATATTTCTGAACAGATATATATGTATACATACTATAATTTTCTGTTTAATTAGCTATTTATTATTTTATTAAAAAAAGAATGTATATATTAATGAATTTTTCAGTTTTCATTTTAATAATAATTTATAATTTTGTTATATATATATATATATATATATATATTATTTGTCTATCTTATATATTAAAATAGAATAATATATCTAAGTATATATAAATCTAATCTAAGAATATTTAATAGTATTTAATTTTATTATTAATACAATTGATATTTATTGATGATGTAATATAATATTAGTACAGAATCATTTCTTAAAAGATTTCTTGATATCTAACGAATATTTATAATCATGTATATATATATATATATATATATAAATTCATTCATTGGTCCTATAATATCACAGTTTTGATATTTTAAAATAAATCAGAAAGTAAAGAATTATATTAATTATCTGTTATATAAATTAATTGATATTATTTTTATTATTTGAAATGATTTTCTATCTGAACAATTCATTATTTCTTAAAACAGGTTTTTCGAATACATTTAAAATAGTAAGATGCAATTTACTTCAACTCTTGCTTCAATGTTTAAATATTAATGAATCCTGGTAAGCTTTAGTTAAATTGTTTTATGTCATTTACAATAGATAAGATTATGAAATAAAAATAAAATTACCCTATATCAATTCAAACATTGGGTCACCAATGATTTCGATTTTACTGATAAAAAATTTGTTTACGTATTTTGCTAAAATTAATTTATTTATAGTAAATGTTGTATATATTTAAATATTAAAAAAAAATTATTTATTAAAATTAATATACCTATGTCTCTTTTTAAAAAATTTATAATATATATTTGATAAAAGTATGATATTTAAAAAAAATTTTTTTCTAATTGAATTGTAAATTAATTACTTTATAGTATTTTATTTTAATTCTACTCCTACATGATAATTTACATTATCTGACAGTGATATTTTTTATTGTTATTGTAACACTCATTTGTAAGTTTGACATATATTTTATATCGGTTATTTCATTATATATACCATTAGTCAATTCTTATTTATCAAGTTTTAAAATTAAATTTAATTATGTTTTTTAAACAGATTTTTATTAAAATCATAAAAAATTTTATTAGAAAATAACTTAATTGATTACTTAAATTTAATTTAAATAATTTTTAAAAGTAATATTAATAAAGATATATTTGTATTTTTCTGCAATTAAAAGTTTATTTATTTAATTTACGATTCTCTTTTCGATCCAGTTAGCTCCGATTATAAAGTTATTGTCTAATGTGCATAGAACTATATTACAACTATTTAAACTACTGTATTGCGAATATAAGACATATATATACACAATATTTTATTTTAAAAAATCCATTATTTGAGAGATTCATATGGTATTACAATAGTTTACTTTTGCTATAGTTAAATAATCACAAATGAATAAGTTTGAAATTGTATTGAATCATTTTGTATTATTTTCATATCTGTTATAAGTCTTATAAATAAAATCTTTAAAAGTAAATTAACTATAAGACATATTTAAAATGAAGTTATTATAAAAAAATTAAGTCATTGAATACTTATAAAATTTCTTAATATTACTAACTTTATTATTGAATTGTTTTATAATTAATTTAAAATAAAATTACTTCTTTAAGTAATAATTTGAAAAGATATTTACTTATAAAGGCTTATGGAAAAATAAATAGTTTTTATACAACATGAAACAGTTTGTATAATAATTTTTGCTGACAAAATGTATTTATTAAATTATGTTGTTTTATGATAATTAATGATTTATTTTATATATTCATAAATAAGCAATTTAAGTTCCATAATTTTGTAAATATACTGGATTATAGACACAATTTAATCTACTTGTTTTGCTAAAAATTCTTATCTAGGATATTATACACGATATGAAGACATTCATCTTTTTTTAGAAACGTGAAGTGTATTTTAACATAGAAATCATATAGCAACAATAATAAATATATATTTTGAGCGTAATCATAGATGTGACTATCTTTTCTATCGTCGATTAAAGCTACGATATTCGATAGCTTGCCCTCTCTTATGATGGATCAGGTTAACATAGTGTTTAATAATTAATTGCTCCAAAATTAGCTAAAGTGTGAATATTATGTATTTAGCATATCATATAATATAAACTGAAAAATGTAATACAGTATATATTTACGTACTATTTATAATTATATTGCAATATGTTGAAATTGCTAAGAAATTTACTTTAAATATTAATTTGTTATTCTATACTGCTAAACTATAGATGATATGAAATTAAACCATTATATTTCATCAGAAATAATATTTATGATTGGTTTATTACCTATGTAATATAAAGGATAATAAGATTAACTGAGTTTTTTGATAAATAATTAAAACTTTTATAAGAATTTGATTATATTAATTTTATTAGATATATTACACATTGTAGGATATATAAATACACTACATTCGATGGTAAACTGAATAATTAATTTAGATGAGAGTTTGATGATAGACAAGAATTTACTAATACGAGCATAACTATTAAAAAATTTAATAGTATAATTAATTACAAGGGCTTACTTTGCTAGTAATAAATAAAGTCGTATTATGAGGCTATTTGTGAGGCTAGAGAAAAGTTACGATGGTAAAATGTTGTCGCTAATAGACTGAATCGACTTCCAGTCATATATATATATATATATATATATATATATGAGAGAGAGAGAGAGAGATCTACCTATCTTTTTATGTATCTATCTGACACTTACACACGTACTCTCATTCAAGTTTCATTTTTTCATATTCTCTCTTTTTATCTTTTATTTTGGAATTCTTTTTTTCGTACTTTTAATGGACCTACAAACCTTGCACTATGCACGTTTTTTGGGTTCCGGAACTATCTTTATTATAATGTGCGTTCTTTTTTATCTCTAATCAAAAGTGAGGATTAAGCCATCTTCTTTTCAGTGTTTATAATATCAATTCTCATAACATCGATTTTCTACGGTGACATTCCAAGTTACAATTTTTAGATGATATATCAATAAAGCATCATTACAATGTGTAACTATTCAATAGTCTTCTTGGAGAAATAGCTATTAAAAAATTTATATTCTTTAACAGTATATAAAAATAGATAATTTATAAGAATACTATAAACATTTAAACAAAACATTTATTTGTGAATATAATTAATAAACTTTTCATGAACATAATTACTAATATAAAATATATATTAAAATTTATGAAATTATAATCTTTTTCAATTTCAAGATAATTTTCTTTTCTTTATATAATATTACTACATACATCTATATATTCTATAAGAAGAAATATTTATATTATTATTAATTTCTGTATATTGATTACTTTTATGGCATATTGTACCGAAGAAGCTATCGTGTGATACAATAACACTGAATGATTCGTTCGAGCTTTTATTACGTTAAATTATATCATTATATGCCATTAGTTTATAAATTTTACTATAACTTTATATTGTGCTAATAAATTTTCAATATTTTTTTGAATAATTTTTTTATTAGAATAAAATATTTCAACACATTTACATAATATAAATAAATAAATTGTATTTTTAAAGTGAAAAATTGCTATTTTCAACGTTGAAAATAATTAGGTTAGAATATTTACCATAAATTTTTGTATATAATCAGTAAATATCAAAGCCTCTAATTTATATTTTACATATTGATACAGTTATTTGAAAAAATAACATTAGTAAGGAAAAAGTAATCAAGTTTTTGTTCATATTATTAATGTTTGTCGAAAGCTTCGAATAATTAAGGATTAATTTTTTTATTTTCATATTCCATTTCGAGCCTAATGATGCAATAATTATAAAACATACTAAAATGTATGATAGTAAAACATATGGTCGTGTAGTGATAGGAGTTTATATAAACTAATATTTAGTATTATAATAAATATAATTCATAATATCATAAAAGGTTAACAAATAATTGTACGATAAATAAAATATATTATGCTATATTGTATAGTGTTTTTCCAATAAACTAATCGTAACGTCTCGAAGAATAGGTTAACTTTATTGTTTAGATATACACAATGAACATAATCTGCTTAGTCATCCTCCCGTAAAACAGATTTAATGAAACCCAGATGGTTATAAACGTTTGTATACAGATCTGGCGCACCTGTGCCACATGGAATACTCAGAGTAAGTATACCTATGAGTGTAGTAGAATCTTTAACTAATGGAGCGCCACTATCACCCTGTAAGATTTATAATTGACATTTTATAAGTCGATTTTAATCGATATTTTTGTGCTGATTTTAAGTTAAAAATTAAATATTACTTAATCGCATGAAATTATTGATACAAAAGTGTAAAAATTGTAAAATTATATAAATATTCAGTCAAAGAATTGAGAAAAACTTACTATGCACGGGCCCGATCCTTTCTTATAATATGCGCAAAACTGATCGCTATTAATAGCAAATGGAACATAGTTTTGGCAGTTGTCAGTATCAATCGTCGTCATACTTACTTTCTTAAGAATATTGGAAGCATAATACGAAGGATAGGTATTTGCTCCCCAACCACTGATTGTGCCTATTTCGGCAGTTAAGATATTTGTGGTTGGAAGATTAATTTTATTTTGATACTTGTTAAATTCAATATATCCATAGAGCTTGAATTGAAATTTTTTTTATTAGTATTAACTAATTCTAATTTATTACAAATAATTTATATTTAATTAAGTAAAATAATTTATTTATTATTAAATTTTATATTATTTACTTCAACATTGTACGACATTTTATCTTAATACATATGTTAATGAAAAAGTAATTAATTTTATTAATTCATTTGTTTTAAAATATATGCATATAATTGCACACCTGTATATATCCAAATTATGTTTATCTTTATATAAATACAAACGTACCCATGTATATATGATATAGTTTAGATAAATTTTAATTCAGCTTATAAAAAATGTAGAAAAATTACTATAATAGTTTTAATAAAGTTAAATGGTGTAATAATTTTTTAATATATTATATTATCTTTAAATATATATATATAAGATAAAATTGCTTTGTTTAAAATAAGAATTATAGTATTCATTTAATTTCATTAAAAATTAATAACATAAATGGGGTATAAAGTTATTCATAAAAAAAAACTTTGGGGTACGTTTTTGATATTTTTCTCATTATTTCATATATGTATATTTTTCATTAAAAAATAAAGAAATCATTTAATCTAAATATTAGAAAAAATACTTTAAATATTTTACACTCAATGTCATCGAAAAATTGATCCTATTATTAAAATACTTGTATGAAATATAGTTGCAAAGTGAATTTCCATAATTTTTAATATACATTTGATTTTATTATTAATGCTTTAATAAGACTGCCAATAATAATACTTTAACAAACAAATTTTAATGTAAATGCAAATGTAAATTTCTTAGATGCTTTTTGTATTGCTCATACTTTTCAAAAACATCATGAAATTCAGATTTCTTCTAAGTGTTAATCTCCTTAAAATAAAAATATTTTTAAAAATATCTCATCATTATTTTTAATACAATCACTTATATTTCAATTGGATATTATAATTTTTTTTAATTATTTTCTTTGTATATTTAATATTACATGTTATTGTGGATAATACAGTATTATAAGATAATATAGTATTTATATAATTATAAATTTAATGCAAAATGTATATAAATATGAATATAAATATAAAATATATAAACGTATAACATTCGTATAAAAATATAAATACCTAAAACACAAATTTGAATGATTTATCTTAGTTCAGATATATTTTAGTTTGCAATTTTTCATTAAGTAAACGTTAAAACAGTTATAACAATATTTTATAATTTCAATAGTGAAAAAATTTTAAATACTCCTTATTTAATAAATATGTTACTCGTACCTTGATAATCGAGATATCATTCGCGTGCTTGACCTTTTCATTTTTTGTAATAGAGAACATTGGATGGGAAAAATACTTCTCAGGGAGATACCATAACCCTTTTCCACTGGAAGTATTGTTTGTACCCACATGAATTCTTAGGTCCTTGAATGACACGAAGGGCTCCATAACGCAATGAGCCGTCGTGAGAATATATTGATGAGCTATTATTGAGCCAGTGCATAAATGTAAATTATTGGATTCGTGTTGAAGCGATGTCAGATATGGGCATTCTTCTATAGATGTGTCTATACCTCCGACTATCTTTATTCTTTTACCTTGAACCGCTGAAAGATTATTAACGACGAATCAATCCTTTTATTTTCTATCGAAATTTAAAATTTTGAGACTATGATGGATCGACTATTAATATTGAAATTTTAAATTAACTTACATATAAGAATTATCAGATATAAATAAATTACGTTTGGAATAGACATTATGGTAGTTGTTAATCTATGAGCGCATTTAAAATTCAATAACAATCTTTTATTTAAATATCAAAATAGCATTTTAAATAAGTTATGTCTTCTAATGTTCTTAAAGATATATATTCCCTTATAGGTACTTGTTTCATTTTATTCTTATCGGAGTAATTTCCATAATTTATTATTCATATTAAATTCAAATATTAGTAGTTAATGTACGTATATACAAAAAATACATACTCATAAAAAAAATTAACTTAATTTAAAGAAGAGTCAGTCTTAAAAGCTAATAAATATGCGTCTTATATAATATCGGGCAATTATAACTTTGGCTATTATCTATCACCACTTATGTTAACAATATTATATATTATAATATTATGATTTGCTTTTAATATTTCTTTATTTTAAATGAAAATCGTTTATAAATATCAATTACATTATAAATATAATAACTTGCTTTTCTTTAAATATGCAATTCTAATATAAAATGAATAGATTATAGTAAATTACAAATGAACCTTTTATTATGTATAATAAGAAGACCACCATTCGTTTTGCAGTGGATTCAAGAAAAATTATTTTATTTTTATATGTAAATTTCATTATTATAAAACATTAAAAAATTTTATTCAATATTTATAAGATGATAATAATTAAGAATAAAATAGAAAAAATGTGATTTGATTTTTCTGAAACAAATACATTCTTTAGAATTATCAATAAAGGTTTTAATAAAAGACATTTATAGAAACTATGAAATTAAATAATAATAAATAATGAACGAATTATTAGTATTTAAATATAAAATATTTATTATATAAAATATATATAAAATATTGTGCATAATTAAATAATTATTTTGATTATCAGTATATAATTTAAATGAATAATAAGCATTGAATAATAAAACGTTGCTTATTTGAAAATTTCTATCTTTAGATAAATTTAAAAGAATTTTAAAGTTATAACTTAAAACTTTAGAATTTATAATATAAAAAATTACTACTTTATGTTATTTACTTTAATATTATGTACTGATAAACGATAAAAAAGCTTAAACTATATAGCATATTGAACATTGAAAATTAATATCATCGAAATATTGTAAATACTATTCATTTTATTATAATACTAATATCGAAATTAGTTTAAAAAATAATCGATTTATTAATAACAAATCAATATTTAATAAAATTATAATTTTACGTATTTCAACCAGTATACTTTAAATTACCATTACAATTAGCCTTTTCTGTATACTTTTATCATATTCGATCTCGCCTTCTCTCTCTCTCTCTCTCCCTCCCTCCCTCTCTCTCTCTCTCTCTCTCTCTCTCTCTCTCTCTCTCTTCTATATTAATAGTATACTACAGATTTCCTGTTCTTTCTTTTTTTCGTAATTCATTTTCGTAATATATGTACTTTTCAGAGTATATATCTTTTAACTTCGATTCTCATTATTTTATACTTAATATTTTATTCTTTAATTTGGCATGCAATACCTGATATTTTATCCATAATTATCATATTTACTATAATTATGGGAGAAAATGTTTAAAGTATATTTAACAGCTATTACTTAGTTTAGGGAGTTTATGAATTTCTAACTTTTACAATACATAAAAATATTATTTTACAAAAAAATGATTTGCGAATTAATGAAAGGCAATTTTCACAACTTTAACAGTATAAATTATTATATTAATAAAATATAATATAATAATATTTTATATCCATAAAGCATATATTTAAAAAATTGATTACTTTACAGCATATTTTGAATAACTAAAAACATTTTTTATACCGATTTATTAAATTAAAAATTATTCAATATCAACATTTTTATAAAAAATGTCTAATTATATAATTATATATTTTGAAAAATTAAACTAAATTTATATTTTAAAATTTAATTATTTGAACTTTTATAAAATTGTTCTAAAGTGATAAAACAAATCTAGGTACTTGATAATGTTTTCTTAATTTTTTAACAATGATAATTTACTCAGTCATTGGATTTTTTTATGCACAAAATTGTTCTACAGGTAGTTCTTATTAGTTTTCTCTCTCTCTTTCTCTGTTTCTCACACCATGTTTCCTGTTATTTTTATCGTGTCTTAATATGCCTACGTATTTGGTCGCAGCAGCTGTATTTGAGTCATATCTCGTGCTAATAAGTAATATTAATGATATTGACATGTTACCATTTAACTCTAGATAATAAAAACTTCAAGTATTTACATAATATTTTTTAATTATATATATAATTAGGATTTTTATTTTATTTAAATTTTAAACGATAATCTTTGATGATTACTTTTAATTTATTTAATTCACATGAGAAATTAAGAATTTTAGTAAAATATATAATTAATAAATAGTTGTAATTATGAAAATATGATTTTAGTGCTCAACTATTATAGTAAGTAAATAATTTCACATTTATACAAAGTACGAAAATATTTATACGAAAAATTGTATTTATAGTAATTTATATATTTATATTAAAATCAATTGTTTTATGCAAACAAAAAGATAAACAATATTATATTAGTGTACATTATTATTATTGACTAACTATATTATATTTATAGTTTTTTTACCTTATTTATATATATATATATATGCATAATTTTTTTAGATACTACATGTTTATAGCAGATAAACGTATTATTTATTAAAATTCATAAGTAGTCGCTTAATATATACTTTCTTTTTAATTTACATATTTTTTATTGTTTTAAAACTTTTATTAGTGTACCTCATACAGTAAAAAATATACAGTTTTAATATTAATTATCGTCAATACATGAAATATTCAGTTTAAAAAAAAGAAATCTATTATTAAATAAATGTCTGATTGTTATTTAATTTTGATAATTAATTACATAAACATTCGTTATATTAGATTAATTAGTAAAACATAATTTATTTTTTCAATTGAAATTTTCAAAATATTTTATCTCTTTCATTATGCTTTATTTATATTGTATTAATATGATTATTTCTTAATTAATTATATTAATTTATTAATGAATATTTTCTTTTATTTTAATGTATGTCATCTTTTTCAGTACCATGTTGATATTCTATAAAAAACTATATTCTAAATTTATTTTATATTGTAATTTATTGTATCTATTAATTCTATTGCATCTAATAAAAATATATTGTAATTATATAATAGTAGAATTTAATAATTTTATATTAAATTTTTATTAAAATAAATTAATTGAAATTATAAAATTTAACATAGAATTTTATATTCTTGTAGTTATTTGTATATCTTAAGTAGTTTTTTATGATTAGAGCTAAAACTTCATTTATATCAATAAATACTATTTAGTAAAATAAAATGTTTGTATTTAAAGAAACGAAATTCTGATTTTGTTATATGTATGAAAATGTTGTATGTTGTTTATAAAAGTATTTATGAAAATGATATATTTATTACGTTAGAGTATATTTTACCATCCATGACAAAAAATTCAGAGAGAAAAACGATATTAATTGAAATACAATTAAAAATACATTCAGTTTTATATGAGTTTTGAATGCCTGTGTTTGAAATATAATGTTAATGATCTTAAATTAAATAATATAAATAAGAATAATTATAATAATTATTATAAAAATAATTTTCATACTTCAGTTTATTCGACAAAAACATTGAATGATTTATTTCTTGGCTTCTAAATTTAAGATTCTAAATATTAAACATAACCTTATAAAAAATTTTTGGTTAATGATATCTTAAACTAACAAAATATATTCTAATTTTAATTTTCTCCAAAGTACAAGGTGTTCTAAAGCTTGCAAAGTAGTTTTTTTTTGTAATATTCCGCATACAGAATATATATTCAGTGCATTATTTACTTATTCTAAGTCACATAAAGCAATATCTCTATCATGTTTATATCAGATGCTAACATCGGATTTTGATAATCAATCAATAAAGTTTATAGCATCATACTTTAATACAAAAATATTTGTTTATGGAAAAAATTGACATTAAATATTAATTTCTTTTAATTTATATTGTTCTATAAATATACAAATATTTATATTATTATAATTATAAAAATATTTATATTATTATAATTACAGTATTTAATAGTATAGATTATACATATATTACTATGATACTATACTTCTATACGTCTATTTTGTTTGATTAAAATACTTATCAAGATATTGAATTTCTGTTAAAGCTTCGTCGATTTATTTATCAAAAACATCGTTTTCCGTCGATTCCAATATTATACATATTCCAAATGACTACACTTCTTTACCTTTTTCCTTTAAGCTTTATCTTGTTTAGCTTACCGTTCTTGATGCTTAATTTTTCTTATAAAAATTTTATTTAGCCAATAACAAAATGTTAAACATTCATTATATTAGATTGATTAGTAATCTAATTTATTTTAAAATTCTATTAACGAGAATTAAATTGTTAAATGTAATTGTATTTTTTAAGTTTTAGCAATTTGGACTTTATATATGTAAAAAAGACTTTCGAGTTTTCGTGATTTTTAAATGATTTTTATTTTTTTAAGGCTTTTAAATTCATTTAAACTATTGTATATTTCGTTGTGATTACATGATATAAAATGATAAAAATAATTAATTACATATCAATATCAAAGTCTACTTTTTAAATAATTTGCAGATGTTCATAATATAAGCCTATTAATGATGAAAATTCATTTGCATAGTTATTACAAAAATTATCTATCAATAAATTTAAAATACTAAAATATTGGTTATAATTCAATAAAAGGAAATTTTAATTATGCTGAATATACAATTGTTTAAGAAGTATTAATAAAGGCAGTAGTAATAAGTTTAATAAATCTTAAAATTTTCTTTATAAAAATTATAGAAATGATGTTAAAATTTTTATTTTTATTAGTTTAGTTCATATATATGATATTTATATATTCAGTTTAACTGTGAAAGTATTATTACGAACAATTATTGAATGTTAATGTTGCTAGAATACGTTACTTTATACTATAAAATATTAATAGCACTCACTGTATTTGGTACTTTATTTTTAATGAACTCATTAAATTTCAGTTTAATACCTTTTTTTTCTTTTAATTATAAAGTTACGTAATAAAAATATTTTAAAATACAATGAAATTAAATAACTTAAAATTCGAATTGTATGATATAATGGTAGAATATACAAAAAAAAACAAGATCAATTCATTGTATTAATATTAAGATTATTATTTAAAATATTTATGAATATTATTACAGTAATAGAATAACTTGTTTAATAATATATATTGAATACAGTATGAGTGACATGCATTTTTAAATTAAATTCCGTCAGTGTCATTACAATCCCCTTTATTTATTATATTATAATATTATTTTGTATTCTTTCATTTATATTTAATATTTTATAGTATTTAATTCAATATTGTTGGATCAAATAAAAAATTTATATATATATTTTTTATAAACATTTATAAAAAAATATATGCTTTTATATTCTGTTTTACTTTTATATACTGTATTATATTCTGCTTATTTTAATACTTTTCCAAAATGATTGTTCAACTTTTAATGAAATTATTTAAAAAATTTTCTAATATAATCCGATAATCATTTTATACGAAATAAAATCAGAATATGTTGGCAATTTTTTAGTAATATGTACGCAGATTGTATATATTGTAAAAGTGTGAAGTAATAAAATAATTGAAACTATTACTGCAAATGAAAAGAATTAATTTTTTTTATTCAAATTTTCTGTTTACCAACAATTTAAAAATCATAAGATATGTATTATTTTTAATACTTCAATAGTATATTATTAATTATTATTTTTCATGAAAAAAGAAAGAATTAGTATTATTTATGGATATTGGATAATTTTATTTAGATATTGATTTAATATAACATTAATAATATTAACATTAGAAAAACGCTAAACTTTTGCATACTGATATTAGTGAAAGGAAAATTATATATTGGAATATCAGAATGTATATTATTATTAATAACTATTGTTTACAAATTTTATAAATTATAATTAAGTTTCACATAATAAACTTGTAAATTTCATATGTATAATTCTGTATATAGTTTTATTGTAAAATTATAATAATTATATTATTTTTATTCATTTAAAAAGAAATAATTTTGATAATACCAATAATGGATATAAAATATTATATATTTGGAATAAAGGAAATGATAGTTTTCTTTTTCTTTTTTATTAAAAGTTTTGATTATCTATCAGATAGATAAAAATGTTAGTTAACAAAATTTATGTTAATCACATATAATATATACTTGTACTGAAAGCAATCTACAAAAAGAAACAAAAAATTATTTTATTTTATAATATATAATTTAAACAGACCTTCATATCTTTTTATAAATCTTATCATTTATATACATAACAAACGTTGGTGTACTGTACAGAATATACTTTAAAGTAATAATTTGATGATTATATAAATTTGGTTGCTTTTATTATTTATGAAAATTAACTAAAATCTTCTTATCCTTAATTTCATTAATTTAATGCTTTTCTATGATATTTCTGATGAAGCTTACATGCATGTAAACATTTAAGTACAGCTCAGGTTCACCTGTAGCAAACGGATAAGAAGCTAATAGTAGACCAACTACTTTATTGTTAATGATCAATGGATTCCCACTATCACCCTGAAAATATATAAAGTATAAAATTAATTACCTGAATTGATCTCGATCAAAATTATTAATCGTGTAAAGCCGAAAATTCATAAAATATGTTTAAACAATTTTAATCTGATAAATATTGTAAGTTAATTGAAATTATTACTAAATCAATACTTCAACATTTCATTGCTTTCGATTCGAAAGTTATAATTAACTTTTATATATTTAATATTTATAATACTTTATTATATAATTATTTGGGAAACAAAATTTTAGTATGCTGAATTTTAGTATTTGTAGTGATTTGTAAGTCTTACAATGGCTGCACCAACTCCTGGTCTTTGATAAGCACAAAATTGATCTATAGATAATGGATGATCAATTCTTGTCGAACAAGATGGAAGATCAAGAATCGTCATCCAAGCTGCTTGGAGCTTGTTGGAAAATTGAATTGGAGATAATGATACTGATCCCCAACCACTAAGCATACCAACATCACCAGTTAAAACGTTTCTAGTTGGTAAGTATACTCTTTTTTGGTAGTCATTGTAATCAATGGTAGTTAAGAGCTAAAAATAACATATATTTCTATAATCAATTATATTGTATAATAAAATACTCTATAAGAATTGTAGATTCATTCATATGCATTTATATATATATCCATTCATATATATAATCATATAAGATCAGACATATATGAAATTAATATGTAAATTATAGACACTATAATAATTATCGGCTAATGTATAATATTTTTGAATACTTTAATGTTGAATTATTTTTTTTACTTTTGGTTTTAATTTATCAGACAAATTCCAAATATGAAGTGTTTATGCAAAAGAAGATGTCTATTTATATTGTTACATATATCTTGATCAATTCTTATTATATGCATATATATATATATATATATATATATATATATATATATAGATATATAAATGAGTTGCAAAAAATACCTTTATAAAACAAATTTATTTATAATACCTTGATAACAGCAATATCAAAAATCGCACGCTTAACTGGATCTACGCTTCCAGTGTACTCTGGATGAATTTTAATTGCTTCAGGAAGATATGTGTTGCCAAAGACGTCAAGTATTGTGGGTTCTCCTAAGCAAATTATGAAATTGTTTAGAAATGCGTTACCTTCATTAACGCAATGGGCGACAGTGAGGATGTGTCTATTGCTTATAATTACGCCTCCACATATTAAATTTTGGTTTAAAATTCCTCTCAAGGATGCTTGATATGGAAATTGCGTTAGGTTAGCTTCCGAACCTCCAATAATTCTCGTACTCTTACTGTAGATTGCTAAAATAATTTGAACATCAATTTATTAAAGTGATAAAATACGTTAACCATTCACCAATTCACCATTCTTTAATCCCTTTGTTATTATATTCTTATGAAATTTCAATTTATTGAAAATTATGTATATCTGTTTAATATTTGATTAAATTTATTCTATGCGTTAAACAGCTAATTGATAATCCATAAAATTGGATACTTACTTGCTATAAAAGTAAGGAATAAACAAATTATAATTTGAAAAGTCATTGCGCCGTCTTTTCAATATCTTGTAATTTAATTTTTTTCTTTTATTCTTATATATAGCAATTTTATCTTAGATACAAACAGTCAGTGTATATTTATATTAATTCAAAAAAATATTTATTAGGCTCATTGAGTAATCTTGTAAAATATTAGTGAATAACAAAAAAAATTTTTTGTCAATACTAAAAAAGAAGAAAATAAGGATAACTTATGCTTATTAGTCTTATTTATTTAAGTTTATAATAATGAAATTATATAATAATAAAATTTATATTAAAATATTTTAAGAATTATTATAATTTGAAAACGTGAATAAATTAGGTATCATTATAAGTATTATATATGTATTAATTAAATGTACACGAATAGTGTTAATTCGATTTTATAGAAAAATAAAGAAAGAAGCGCTTCTATCATACAAAGATATTTATCATGGTTAATAATGTATTTATTAAATGACTTCATAGAGATTAAGCAATTAATTGAATTTGAGCGTATTTTTATTGAAATATCAAAATCGATTTTTTTCATAATTTGAATAAATTAAAAGTAATAATATTTAAAATAAATTTTTTTAAGAATTTTGAATACTATGTATTCTTAATATTACTTGACAGTAGAGAATATTGCAGAAAAATTTAGCATTATCTAATTTATACGAATTTATTCAACTCGATAGATATAATTTTTTTGACATTTTAGTTAGATTTATAAATAAATAAAAATTTTTATTTAAAAAAAGAATAATTTTATTTTTCGTTTATTAGTAGTTTTTAAACTTTAAATTTAATGTTATTCTTTAAAAATTTAATAAATTATTGTTTAAATAAGAATTTGCTAAGCAAAGTTATGATTCGATGATTAGTAGAAATATAAATATTCTAGATATCCAATAAACTTTCAAATGTATGTTTATGTTATAATGTTAATATTATGTTAATGCTATGTATGTTTTAATGTTAATTTTTATGTTATAATTATCCTTACCTCGGAATAAAAATAGTTTAATGTATATATATGTTTATATATTTAGACAAGTTATAAGAAATATTTGTAATAAGATACGGGAATCATCTTATTAGATATGAAATCTATACAATTTAAATATACATATATTAAACATTATATAAAATATATATAACTTAAATATATAAAATGTAAATAATGTATATTATATTATTATATATATATATATATATATATATAATGCATATTATAACAAATATATAATAAATATTACAGCAAAAAAATATATATATATTTTTTTTTTGTTATAATATGAATACACAAATAGATCTAAGGTTATATTTGTACAAGTTTTTTCATATTTCATTATATAATAAATGAAACATTTAATAAAAATATACTAATATAATAAATTTTTATTTGAGAGGTAATATATAAATATTAAAAAGTTTCCATGCAGGTAAAATTATTTTTAAAGCACAAAAATATTTATTAATAAAATTTGATAAAGGTTTATATTTTAAATATTGTAAATCAACTGTACATATTAACACAAATGTTTCGAGATGCGATAATGTAGTATAATATTTATCAAATAATTAATACTTCATCGTTTTCATCTAGAAGCTTTATACAAAATAATCTACAATTATATTTGTAGTATAATAAAATTGAAATAATTTTTTATTCATATTAAAGAAGCGTATTTTTTATTACGTAATTTATGATATTTCACTATATATCAATTATTATTGAATTATTACATTAATCAATTATTTATGATTTATTTGCATGACTATGCATAATATATTTTGTAACTTATTACTACCTTTATTATTAGCTATATTAATATCTACAATCTTTTGAAAAAGTGTTGACGAGGTTTTTAGCGTTAGAAAATGGGATGTGGTAGAGAATCCACTTCAAAAAGTTACAGAATTAAGGAACGCTATATAACTAGTTAATTAGACTTTTCTTATTTTAATGAAATAAAGAGAGAGAAAAAAGGATTTATCGCATTTAGACGATATCATATTCAGAACTTCTCAATTGTTGGCTAAGGAATTATACTTTGATGCTTGTAAAGATCATTTTCATTAGTTACACTTCTTTTTCTCGTTAATGTCGATATTTCCTCGCGAGATTACAATCTATCAATTTAGAGGGAAGATCTTAATAACAAAAAATGTTTATCAAACACCTCTTCGGGTGAAAATAAACAATCTTAAGCAATTGGTAAGCAATCAGTATATTTTTTTATCAACTATAGGTGGCAAAAATAGATCAAATTTTTAAAAACAGCAATTTCATGTTTAATAAGAAACAGATGAAGTCGTTTTATATTTTTAAAATATATCAAATGAATTTTATTCACTTTTAAGAACCGTACTTTGTAAGTCTATCATCAGATATTTATAATAATAAATAGTATGTTGATTTATATTGTATATATAACCACGTTACTTATAATTTAATGTAAACTTATGTTATCTAAAAAACAACTGATATACAAAATAATATGCTATTTAATATAATTATGTAGAATATATCTATATAGTAGTATATGTATTAAAAATAATTTTATTAATTATTAATAATTTATTATAATACATAATTTTGAATAATGATACTAGAATTCAGTATACATTGATGGAGAAAATAATTTAATCAATAAAAAACTTTCCAGACATAAAATTAATTTACGCATAAACAATTATTTTTATATTTTAACATTAATAATAATTTAATAACCATCGTTATATTTTATTGCATAAATTGATTAATACACGATATGAAAAAGAAAAAAATATAATTAAAACCTTTCAAATGTACTTATTGTTATTCAAATATTATTCAAATATAATATAGTTCAGCAATATATTATGTTGTTGAATAATAAATATTTAAACAAATACTTGTTTAAAACATATTTTATAACGAAAAATGATTTTTAATTTCCAACTATAAATTAAAGTATAATGATTTAAGATAAGTATAAATATGTACATCATTTTCCTACAATATATCTTATATATTCGATGTGGCTAAAAACATTAACAAATAATTGTTCGTGACCTAAAATTTGTTGAGAAGTATCAGCTAGACCAATTAATCTATTGTCACTGACCAATGGACTTCCATTATCGCTCTGAAAATATATTATTGTAGATAGTTAATGTTTTCAAAAACATAGAAAAATATTAATTGTTACTGAATATTTTTATTTGATCTTAAATACCATTAAAAATTATTACGAATGAATTTTAAACGAAAAGGATAATTATAAAACTGTCTTAATATTAAATAATTATAAAATTAATTTATAGGTATTCGTAACTTTATAGAATAATGATTATAATAATATATATATAGTAATTTGTAAAATCTTACATTGGTCAAAGTTATTCTTTCATGGTAAGTGCAAAATTGATCCGAATAGATGGCGAACGAAGCACTGGATTTGCAAATATTCATATCAATAATTATCATTATAGCCATTTTTAATCGGTCCATAGGTACATTCGCCATATTAAGATCTGTACTCCAACCACTGAGTGTACCAACAAAGTTATTTATGACGTCCATACTTGGAAGCATTACCTTATTTTGATAATTATTAAATGGCAGGGTCTCTTTTATCTAAAAATTGAACGTAATATTTTTGAAAAACTATTTTATTTAACATAATAGTTGACACTATGAATAATTAAAAATTTCTATATTTTTATTTCTATAATATTTCTATAATATTCTAAAAAAATTGATGATTTCAAATAAGTTTATAAAAAAATTGGAAATTTTACATCCTTTTACAATAAATATAATAAATTTTTTTTTATATTCTTGTTATCCATTAAATTAATAAAAATTTATATTAGCTATGTAACTTAATTCATGAAATATATTTGTAAAAATAGTAATAGTAATAATAACAGTAATAGTAAAATCTGTGGATTCAACAAGTGCATATTTCTGAAAATAATTCATTATAATTTATAAATACGGAAAATTAAAGCAACAAAGTGCTAATTAGTGTAATACTTACAATATATGTATTATATTTGTATATTAAAATATTAACTGACGTTATTCAGTAATAATACTCTATTTATATATACCTTCTTTTAATACTAATATTATTTCTATGAAGACGGAATAAATAATACTATTAACAGTACAATTCAATTTATTCAGTAAAATTAGACAAGATCTTATTAATATAAACGTTTACATACGTATTTGTGGGTGGGTGTGTGTGTGTGCGTGCGCGCGTGCGTGTGCGTGTACGTATATGCATGTGTATGTGTATGAGTGTTTTGAGAAGTATTGTAAATATTACAAATGATGGTAATGATACAAATCTAGACATAGGTTATAATCAAAAATGGTTTTGTTCTTAAATAAAAAATTAAAGCATAATAAATTAATTTTAATATTTATGGAATTTTAATAAATAAGTAGCATTAATATAAACAAACTATGCATTTAGTTTTTTTTTTATAATAATAAGTTTAATATTTTTAGGTTTTATATTAATCTTATATTATTATTATATTATATTAAAACTATATTTCAAAGTAAGAGATTTAAAAATGATTGAATTCAGTTTAGTTACTATGGTAAATTATTCTATAATTGAACTAGGCATTATTGTACAAGTTTAAAATACTTGAATAATTGTTTAATTTATTACAATTAACTTTTGAACTTTTACGTCAAAGTATATTTTAAAAATTGCAAGCTATGAAATTTACTAAATAATTATTTACATACCCGAATAATTGCAATATTGTAAAGCTTATTGGTTGTTGAGCTTGGACGACCGGTATACATTGGATGAGAAAAAATTCTGTCAGGGAAAACTATCAATCCATCAGTATTTGATTTTTTTGTAGTTCCTACTTGTATCATCAAGTCGGAATAGATAATATTGCCAATATTGACACAATAGGCCGTCGTAAGAATGTGTTTTTTAGAAATTATTGCACCGCCGCATAAGTAATCATTGCTATAGATACTTTTTAAGGATGCGTGATAAGAAAATTGGTGATTATTTGTGTCATCGCCACCACCGATTCTCGTATCCTTACCAAACACGGCTAAAATGGTTAATTAACAATGAGGATTATTATATCATTCAGTGATTGAATAGTTAAGATTTATAAAATTCACTTACTAGTACTTAATGCAACACACACGAAAATGACAGTTTCAATAGACATACCGAAGATTTACGATAAATTATTTTGCGAAGTATAAATTCGTTAAGAAGAATTGAATTATATACTAGTTCTAAATATCCTATCTGAAAAATTATAGTAGAATATTATTTTATTATTATATCAAACAAAAACAAAACAAATGTTTGTGTATGATTTAAATAAAAAAACAATAAAATATATACAATTTTCAAATAAATTTTTTTTTCAATATATCAGTTATTGTAAATATTGTCTGTTGTATATTTATGGAAATTATAATTTAAAAAATGTTAAGTAAATTTTTGTACACATCACTATATTAATCAATAAAGTATTTATTATGATATATTATAAATCTATTGAAACATACGTCTTTTGTATTTCAATATATAATTTAGGTAGCAAAAAAAGTGAAAAATATAATATACAAAAATTACTTTAAACACGAATGAATCATTTTGAATATAATCAATTTATATATATATATATATATATAAATTGATTATATTCAAAATGATTCATTCGTGTTTAAAGTAATTTTTGTATATTATATTTTTCACTTTTTTTGCTACCTAAATTATATATTGAAATACAAAAGATTAAAAATTAAAATTAAATAAAATTAAAAATTAATGTATATATATATATTTATATATATATATATATATATATATATATATATATATACATTAATTTTTAATTTAGGGACTATAATTACTAGTTATAAAATATTTCTTATACACAATAATTTTTATTATAAATATTTTAATATTTTACATATTAACTGAGACATTCTATTATTTAACTACTTTTAATCACCAAAATACGATTGCACATATTATTACATATAAAATGATTTCATATAATGATTATCTGAGAGATAACAAAAAAAAATCGTGAATAATTATGGTTTACAACATATAATATATAATTACTTTATCCAGTATGAATTAATAAAAAAATAGATTTAAATTACAAAGAAAAATATATAATCGTATTATAAGCTATTAGTAATTTCAATAATAAGTTATTTATTTAAATTAATTAAATCATAAAGAAAAATTAATAGCTTAAATAAAATTATAGATTGTTATGTCGAAATAAGTAAACAACTCGAAGGAACTGAATTAATAAGATAATTTCTAATTAGAAATTTTATTGCTACGCTAGTTTTATACTTGAATTAATATATATAGCAATTTATACTTGAATTATTAGAAATTATTTGTTTTTCTTTTAAATTAGATGTAGTATATATATATATATATATTATATATTTTATTGTAATTGCTTAATTAATATTTGTTTAATAACTAAATAAATAAAGAACTATTCAACAAATTGGAACGGTTAATTTTAAGTTCAACAGAAAATTTTCATGAATATTGAGAATTAATTGAAATATGTATTTTTGACACATTATAGTGAATGTCATAAATACGAAAGATGATACTGAAAACATTTCGTATACAAAAATAACTATAAAAACATTACGTATAGTGGCAGAAAATGAGTTAAATCTTTTTTAGTTAATAAAAATGAAAATTCAATTCTAAGCAATTTCGAAAACTCCGATATTATGAGATTATTTACATTTCTTTTTATTCAGTTAATAATATCTCCAATAAATAGTGCATGAATTACATCATTTTTTAAATCACCTTGTAGAACAATTTCTTCTATATCTTCAAATATGCATTACTTTTTAAATTCATACATTATAAATATTATATTATAATATTACATTATAATGTATATTATAAAAAGTACTTCTTTATGCTACTAAAAAGTAGCTTATGAATTATACAAAAATTAAATATTAAATATATAATATTTAAAATTACACGATTCAGAATGATATAGTTATTATCAGAATTAAAAATTTTTATTCTGTATTGAAATAAAATCAAGTAAAACACTGTCATGAGACTATTGAGAAATATTTTATCATTAAAAATTGAATTTCTAAGTAACAATCTTTATTTAAAATTAAACTACGTCTTTGTCATGTATAGTCGAGCATGGGACCATCAACGAGTATATGTGAAAATGTACTTATCTCATCTTGAAATAACTCAAAAGATTTATGATACAGTATAGAGAACTATAAAAAAGGCAAGAATTCTGGTAAAATAATTTTATTTTTTTTAATAAAATTTTCTTTCTTACTATAATTTTTTAAACTATGGCAAAATATGTAATTATAATTATTAATTATTCTTTTGAGTTACGGACAAAACAATACATTAACTAGTGCATACTCATTCTTCTATTTGTTTTCATTTAAGAATACGAAATGTGAAAAATTTTTATTCACCAAATTTTGTTGCCAATGCAGTGAATACTTAAAATAACCTGTCATAATTATATAAGCAGATTTATTTATTATATATTTTCTTTTTACAACATGTATTGAAATAATAATTATTACTTTCAACTCATCAGCCTTTTTTTAATATAATGCATTATGTGCATTTTAGTTAACTTGGATATTTTTGAAATATTATAAAGTTTATATTTAAAAAATCATTTTCCCACGAAAATATTTAATATCGTTAATTTAATTTTATTATATTTAATTTTTATATTGGAATACATATTATATGCATATTAATTGAATATTATTACCAGTTTTAAAATTGTAACGCCTTACTCAATTTTTATATAGATTCACTTAAGAAAATTCTTCTATGAACATTTTATGATCATTTTAATGAGTTTTGTAAATAGATTATTAAATCAGATTATTAAATCTTAATAAAAAGTATGAATAGAAATTAAAGTCTATTGTAAATGCAGAAGCATGAAGCATGCAATGGTTGATATATAGTATACAATAACATAAAATTTGCTCATATAGTCATATTCTGTGAGTCGATCAAGTTATTCCATCACATCTAGAAAGTAGATGAACATTATTTCATTATATTTATGTTTCTCTAATTTTATTTAAATTGGAAGATGTATTTTTATTTTATATTTATAAGGTTACTTTAAAAAACAAATACAATATGTTAGAAAAATTAATTTTTCTATTTTAATTTTATTATTTTTTTATTTTAATTTAAATATTTTTTATTTTAATTTAATTATTTTAATCTCATTTATTATTGTTATATAATTACGGATAGTGATTGTCGGAATTAGAGTTCATGAAATATAAGAAATTTCAGAAATAAGGCAATATTTAAGGTAACATTAAATAGGCCTGTTATTTCATTAAACCCAAATAAAATATACTATAAAATTATCCCGTATCATCTAAATTTTGGCTCTTGACAAGACTATCGAAAATATATTAAAATTGATGCAAACAAATAATAAATAATAAAATATTGTTATGTAAGAACGAAACAAAGTTAAAATAAAAAATAAGCATTCAACTGAATAAATAAAAAAAGCTTGGAATGCTGGCTTTACGACATTCGTTAATTATTATATAAATAATCACCACTAAATTTATTAAATTCTTGACGTAATAGATAGGATGTATTATAGTTGGTACAACAGTAATATGACGTGCGTTGGAAATGGGAATGTTGACAAAGTAAAAATTTGTATTACATCATTGTACAAATTTTAATATAATTAGAAGAATATTTTATTTATATTAAACTAGTCAAAAAAATGCATTTTATTATTTCTTGTGTTGGATAGATAGTAAAATATAACATTACGATTATTATTTCCTTAACTGAATACATATTCATTTTACATATGAATATAAATTTGAAACTACTTATCTTCAATTAGAATACAAAGGCATATAGAAAACAAATAAAAAATACAAATAAATACATAACATACAGTATATACAGATTCAATAAAATATAAAATAAAAAAAAAATGGAAAATAATAATAGAACAAAAATAATAGTAATTTGTTTGAAATTACAAAATTTATTCGAATACGTATTTATAAAATTTCAACGTGTGTAATAATCTAAATAACAGGTTTAAAATTATTTAAATATAATACCTAATTATTAAGAGGATAAAATATATAATAAAGAATATAATATATAATAAAGAATAATTTTATTATTATATCAATTAAATAATACAAAATAAAATAATTGCATAAAAGTCAAATAAGTTTGGACACATGAACAATTAACTTAATATTCGTTCAATTAATCTAAAAATTAAATGCATAATTATAAGTGATGCATCAATATAGTCAAACATATTTAATGTCAAACTTATCGGAATAATGAAAAAAATCTTGTTTCATTTAACATTATTTGTATACATTGTACAAAGTTTGCGAATTGAAAATAATTTTAACTGATTGAACAACATTTTAACTGATTATTATGAATTATTTATACTATTTTAGATATTAATATCTAATAACACATTTTTTTAATATTCTATGTCAGTATTCTGATTATAAAAGTCGAGCGAATTGAAAATTTTGTGAATAAGAATATGATTCATATAACAATGTTATTTTTAATCGAAAGCTTTTACTAAATTATTATATTATTATATATACCCTACATTTTCAATATTATTAATGATTTGTTTTATAGCTTAAGTATACTTACGGCTGATACTTGTTTATGAACTTTTTTTTCTATGTACCTGCATTATTTATATTGTTTGAAATTTGTACTAATGATGGCGAGAATGAAAATGAAAAAAGTATATTAATTAATTTTATTATAATTAAATAAATGTTTGAATCGGAAAAAAATGTAATTTTGTTTAGTTAGTTAAATCTTCATTACATAATAGTTATCTTGTTGAGTTGACTTATTAATTTTTAAATACAAATTTAATTTATTAACGTTAAATTAAAACCAAACAAAATTAAAATTTGCAAACAAATTTTGACGTGATAATGATATTTTATTAATTTAAATGTGACGTGAAATTATTAATAACTTTGTATCATTTTAAATCACTGCTAATATTAATATTTAATTAAAATTATATTATATTAATTATATAATAATTATATACTATAATAAGCACATTAAATAACATTTAAATTATAAATAATTATATACCCTTGTGTATTTATTTATATTTACATATTATAGTTATTTACTAGGCAAAATAACATAATTTTTAGCGCATTAAAAATGATACATTAAAAGTAAATGAACTATTATGAATTAATTACAATGAAGATATTTTATCATAAAGGATGATAGTATCATAAATAGTATCATAAAAGCAATCACAAAATATACTATCATTAATTTTATTTTGATAATTTTTGTGTTTGGCAAAGAGTGATTAAATTTTTCTTTTTCTAAATAAACCTATCATATTATCTTTTATTATTTATGCAGACAATAATTATAAATATTTTTTAGATTTTTCTATAATATTTCTTAATAAGTTGTTAAAAATTTCAGTAACTTTTATGAATATTTATTTAATTATGTAAAACAAGAATTATATAGAATTTATTATAATCAAGAGAAGAGAAATCGAGCAAAAGAAAAAGAATATTTAATATGATGAAGAATTAAAAAATATATATTAAACCAAATGATATTTTAATAGTTGCTAATGTTTTTTTTATAAAAAACAATAGTCAACAATAAAATTTTTATTGATTAGCAAACACAATTTAATTAATTTGCTATTGTATTTGATTTGTATTATACGTAATTTTTATACGTAAATTCTTTAACATAAATTGAAATTTATGATTATACTTATATCATAAATGATGTGAAAAAAAAATTAAATACGTGTTATTTCTCATATCTATTTGTTTTTTCATTTTAGTAACTTTTCAATGGTATTCTCTTCGAATATTCTCCATTTTTTCAATGACTCTATTTGGTTTTACTGTATTGAACAACAAATAAGAATTTTTTACTGCATATTATTTACGCTTTTATTTTACTATATTAACCAACGAATAAGATTTTGATAATTAATCAGTAATTACAATATTTTACTATCGATATTTCTTTCAATTAAGTGGAATCACCAAGTGCGACAGTAATTCTCATCGTATTCAATATTAAATTCATTTTTCATTATTATACATGCTGTACATATTATATTGTATATTTACATAATAAATTATATTTTACACAATAAAGGTATCCCTTATTAATCTATGCATTTCATTTCATTTAGGCTTACACAATAATACAATAGATAAATATTAATTTTCTGCCATCGAGATCTTAAATCCTCAATTATTGTTTATTAATATCAAATTAATTCTATTTTATAGTCGTTATATGCTTATTTATTTTTTCATTTAATCGCTGTTACATCAAATGTACATTTGTTATAATTGCTTGCTAATTGATTACTTCATTTATAGTGTGATTCCTGCGTCGATAACGTTGCGTTAGAGAGACCGCAATAACGCGATCTAAAAAATCGTGTCTCGAATTGTCATGAGAGTTATAATATATTGAAGAAGCGACGAGGATCATGCTTGCAGGGATTTAGCCTCCACACATTCGGAATCAATGTGTAACAATATTTTTCATACATTTAATTTCTCAAAAAAATAAATAACTTTGAAAATCTTATTTTATACATGGCTAAAGATTACAACATGTTTAAATAGAATGGCAAATTTATATATATATATATATATATATATATATATATTATTAATCTTCTCTCTTCGATAGAACATTTACGAATACTTTAATTTTATTAGTTATAATAATTTTTCATTTCTTGAAATGTTTACCTATTTAAAGTTATTCCATTTTCTGTATTTTACATAACAAATATTATAGTTACCGCTAAATATTATATTTTATTATCCATAGAAATGAAAGGTGTTGCATTTGCTTCGTTTTCATTGCAATACAAATCCCTTATTTTCCAATAATATTTTATGTTTTACAGATTTGGGTAGTTTTCAAAGAGGATTGTGCTAATTTAATCTCATAAATTACTAATTTGAAACCGTAATTATTCAGTACATTATTAATAGGTATTAAATAAAATGATTTGTTTAAATTAATTAATTTCTATTATTAAATATACTTAACAGTTAAGTAATACTTCCCATTAATTTTTAACTTTTATAGGCTTAGAGAAAACCTGTACATTTAATTTAAAACATTTATTCAATTATAGGTTCAAATGTACCATAAATTAATTAAAATTTTAATATTAAAATTTTTTAATAATTTAATCAAAATAATTTTTCAAAATAATTTTATTTTATCGTTTATTGATATTTATTAACAATTAAATAAACAAAGACCTTTATCGATACACTAGTATACATATAATATTATATATTGTATATAATATAGTATACACTTAAATCAGTATATTTAAAAATTAACAATTTAAATAATGTAATTTATATCTTTAAATTAATATTTATGATATATTACTAAATTTATTCTAGCACTTTCCATAACTAATTAAAGAAACTATATTCTAAATTGGTATCAACAATATTCATATTATTTGAAAATAAAAATTTAAATTTAAATTTAAAAAATAATAATAATTGTAATTTTTTAATTAAAATTTCATTCATTCGCTACAATGTAGAAATTAATTTTATTAATAAATAAAGTTGAATTTTATTCAGTTTCTTGTTCTCATCTTTATATATTTATAAATGTTTACATAGTAACGTATAGATATAATCCACCTGAACAACTATAGCTTCTCTTTTAATAATATTCAAAATTCTAAGAATTAATAAAATTTCAATTTTGTAAAAATAGTCGAAGAATTTTGAAATGTATTAAATATTGATTCGTGTCGAATATAAAATTATTCTGTGTAAATATATTCATATATAGGTAAAAAATATTTAAAAGTATTTTTTTCTATTCTAAATAGCTACAATATGTATTTGCTTTTACATTTATAATTCGTAATTTAAGTCATTTTAATGTGTTTAATATTAGATAAACGTACTCTAATGTCTTATATGATATTATATATTTTTTAATTCTGTACAAGAATTCTATATAGAATCAATATTTAAAAACCATTAAAAGAAATTTTTTCCTAATGTTTAAATAAAAATATTATAAATTTTTTAAATCACAACAAAAATTTTATCTACTCATATAGCTTTAATATACTTCTCATATATAAGTAATTACATATATTTCATGGGATTTTATATTTAAATATTTATCTATTGGTTTAATATGAATAAGAATAAAAATCGTTAAAGGTTGGATTTAATAAAACACTTTCTATTAATATATGAAGTTCTCCGATAAATTTATATCAATAAATAAATAATTGCGTATAATTTATTTATTGATAATAAAACATTCAATATTAAATCGTTCGTATTACTATTAGATTATCACATAAAATTTCTGACCGATAACAAAGTCTATAAATTCAACTGATATGTCAATGCAATACTATTATTTGCCATTATTCATACTAAAAATCATCTATAAGTCTGACAAACATTCAATATTTCAGATACTGATTCTTGAAATTTGACAATCTCCCTCTCCTCAATTTTTTTTAACCTCCGTTTAAGAACGTCTATGTAATAATTAAGTCCAATAATCAATATAGCTGTGATTAAAGGCATTTTATGAAATGAATATGCTTTTTAATAAATAAATAAATTATAATCCATACTCTTTAAATATATCATTTATATATAGTGAGTTCAAATTTAAAATCTTTTAAAATTTATTTGTATACATAAGAAAATTTAAAACAACTTCATGAAATTATATATGATGATATTGCAATTGTAAAAGTCCGACAAGTTTATGTATTTACAATGAATATGACATAGTTGTACTAAATTATAATATTTCTTAGTAGTTTTACGATTAAATTTAATTCTGAATTTCTTTATAATTTAGATATATATAATATGTATATTTAATAGTACTAAAACTTTATTTTATCATCTTCGATCAACTTGTAGAAAAAATGGTACTAGAAAATGTAGCCAATAATATTTTGAAGGAACAGGAATAAAAAGATAGTAAACATAATTCATTTCTATATAGCTCAATTATATCAAATATTTGCGAATATAGGATTTAACTGTAATGTAAAATTATAATTAAAACATTTGGCCGAAATATTAACATTCTTACCGGTTAATTAAAATAGAAGTAATGACATTGATTTGTTTTATCAAACATGTATTCATATTGTATGTTATATTATGTTCACGCCGAATTAAAATAATAAATATATATGCTAACCCATAAAGTTTTATAAATAATCTATATTAATACAATTATATAGCGTACTATAGTTTTGTTACAAATCCTCCAATTCTGCTGACTGTTTAATGAACTGTGTATGCATATAAACGTTAGTATAAATATCCGGAAATCCAGTGGCGCATGGACGAAAAATTGAAACAATACCAACTATAGTATTAATATTAATTAATGGTGATCCACCATCTCCCTAGAATTTTGAAAACATTTCTTATTCAAGCAATTCACATTCTATGAAAAATCAATGTTCAACTGGTAAAATAAATATATATTATACATAAACAAATTTTATAATAATAAAATAAATAGTATTGTGAGTATAAAAATTGTACTAAATTTTGAAAAGTATTTAGAATTTATATTTTGTTTTACTGGAAAATTATTTATATAAGCTAACCTAATATTTAATTATTATTAATTATTATTTAATTTAATTTAAATCTATTATTATTTATAATATATAAATTCTTACGATGCAAGGTCCTACGGAAATTCTTTGATATGCACAAAATTGATCCACTCGTATATGAAAAGGAATTGCCGGTCGGCAGGCTAGTGGATCACTAATTTTCATCCAAACTTTTTTTAACTCGGTGGATGCAGTTAGCATTGGGTAAGTTAGCGAGCCCATACCAGTAAGTATAGTAATATCACCTTGTTTAATATTGTATTGAGGAAGTAATATCTGGCTTTGATATGCATTAAATGCAATTACTGTTTGGAGCTATAAATGAAAAGTTTTTGTAATGAAATTATTTAGTTGAATAAAAATATAATAATAAATATTGTACAATTTTTCTTTACAACAATCTTTTCAATTTAAATAAGTGTTTTTAGACAATAATATTTTCGAGCGACTTCAATTTGCCAAATTTTATCCAAAACTTTATATATCAAATCCAAACTAAATTTTCATTTGATTATAAAAAATTATAATTTGTTTGACAGATATGTAAATATCTATATTGTTTAATTACAATATAATCATCCTTTTTAATAATATCCGATGTCATACTATTCATTATTATAATATATATTAATATTTTTTAGAATAATTGAACTTTTATAACAATTACATTTAAACATAATGTAAATTTATAAATAATAAGTTTTAACCTTTTTTGATGATAAATACATTGAATATATTTAAAAAATATTCTACAATTCAAGTCAAAATGAATTTCATTTTTCCCAGAAAATTAATTTTTTAAATTAATTTATATATATATGCCTATTAAGAATTTACATTTTTACAATCGACTATTGATTATTGAGAAAATAATATGTAATAAAGCTATTTTCAAAAATAATAGTTATTTTAGGGATAAACAATATTTAGTTTTTAAACTTTACTGAAAACTTTATTAACGAGGTTTTAAAAAAAATATTTATATAAAAATTACTGTATGCAATGCTTTACGTAATTTATTGTGCTGTTAGCCCAGTGTTCTTATAGTCTTTATTATAAAAGTTTACGAGTTCTTTAGTAACTTAAAAGTATTAAGGAATAGCTGAACCACACATTATATTTCAACTGTTTCATTATTTACGGTAATTTTTCAGAATTAAATACAAACTATGATGAAATGAATTAGGAAACTGCACACTATTATGTAAATATTTTAAATATTTTTTAACATATAACTTTTTTTTTACTAGTTATATCATTGTGTAGCCTGAAGATTTTGAAAACTACTAACGTTTACAAATTGTGATAATGCACTTTTTGCAACATACCTTAATAACAGCAACATCGTTGTACATGAATTTTTGTTCATTTATTTCACTCGTGAAACCTGGGTGAATATAAATTTTTTTAGGAAGATGCGTATTACCGGGATTGGCGGTAATATTTGACGTTCCTGTGACAATTTTCGAATTGACATAAGCATATAAAAGATCGGGAAAACAATGCGCTGCTGTGAGGATGTGTTTGTTTGTTATAATGGCACCGCCACACAATAGTAGATTATCTGAAATGCGCCTCACAGATGCATAAAATGAATAATCGTTAATATCTGCGTAAGATCCCTCTATGATTCTTGTATTCCTACTATATGTGACTGAAATAAAAAGTGTCTTGCTTTATTGTCAATTAATTAGATTATTCTTGTATAAATGCCCGAGAACAACATTATTATTGCAGTTTTAAATGATAGACAATTTTTCGTCAGTTTATTTGGTGTTCATAACATTTAATTATACACAAAATTTTTTTATAAACTTATAAACCACTCATTATAAATAATTTAGTTTGTCAAAATTGTTCAATATAAATTAAGGATTTGAAATAAAAAAATTCAAATATTAGAATATTTTAATATAATTAATGACGGTTAATAAATCTGACTTACTAGTCACGAGTGCAAAGCACAAAAACATTAAAAATCCAACTGACATAGTGATACTTGTAATGTGCATTGAGGATTTGTATTCTTAGATTCAATTTATAAAGGAATACCCAATTGATAATTTAGATAATACATCATTTTAGTGTCGTATACATGTTATACAGCTTATATTTTACATGTTTAAAATATTTGAAATGCTTATTGAAACAACTGTATTCATAGAAGTGATCATACATACATATTTGTATTTAATGTAATTACTTAAAAAATTATCTATAAATCGTTTTAATATTAGAATTTTTCATCGATCAACTTCTAATTACTTTTTTATAATACAAACTAATATAAATAAAAATATTGTATGTTTATAAATTGATTTTTAAATCTTATATTATTTTATAAGTATTATTCTTTCATAATATAATAAATAACAATATACTAATATACATATATATATGTTTTTTTTTTGTAAAAATTAAGTGGAATTGAAATGAAAAAATTTTACTTATTTACTTAATGTTAATTTTAATAGAACTATTTAAAAACTATTAGCTTAAGAAATATTATGTATATATTTATTTAATATACACAATACTTAATATATATGAATTTTTATAAGCAAATATTTTAAATTCTTTTATTTAAAATATTGCATATCTAATTCTTTTCAGTTCTATAATTGCTTATATATTCTTCCGTTTACTTCATGTTATATTGATTTATGTATTTATGCTTAGTAATTAATTAGTTAGTAAAGAAAACTTATTGTTTTGTTTAGTATTTTTGTAGTCAATTTTCATGTACACAATTTTTTTTTCAGTTCCATAATTCCTTATATATTATTCCGTCTACTTTAAATTGTATTGATTTATCTATTTATGTTTAGTAATTAACTAGTTAATACGAAAAATTTATTGGTTTGTTTATTGTTTTTATAATCAATTTTCATATACAAAATTTTCGTCCAATTGAATAAACTTCTAATAAATTGAAAATAAAAAATGAAATTTATATTTATATAGATTCATTTATTATTTAAGATTAAATTGATGATTTATTTTAATAATAAATTATATAATTAAAGCAGAAATTACTTCTAGATCATAATGAAGAAATTGAAAGTAAACGATTTATTATGAGTTAGTAATAAATGTAAAAATTAAATTCTATTCATATTTTAAATAAAAATTAGTATTTTTAAAAATTTTAATTAGTCATCGATATTTACCGACCCTGATATATATATATATATATATATATATATATATAAAAGACATTTTTTTTTATTAAGGGCTTCATTGTTTACAAAGCATTACTTTTTTTTGTTCAAACTATTTTCGCCATGGCTTTATTATGTACCTAGCACTACTTTTTCAGTTGGAACAATATTATGCTTGTTCTCGTTATTTATTAACAACTACAATTAAATAGAGCAAATTAAAACTTTAATTTCTTTCACTTTTTAACTACATAAAGAAATATAAAATTTTAATCATATTATATATTCATTTTTAAAAAGTATAAAATTGAAAAGATAATTGAATCCTTCATTTATATTATATCAATGAATGGAATGCAATGGTGTTCATTTTTTTTAATATCACATGCATAATAGTAGGTTATAAAATATCTTATTAATTAAGTAGACAACATAATTTTGAGTATTAGTATTTATACCTGTAATGATTATTAGGTCTTAGATTATATTCAATTTGGACAGATAGTTTATAGTTAATATTTATATAAACAAAAATTATAAAAATGTACATTAGAATACATCCATTTTATTTTAAATATAGATAACATTAAATATATATATAAAAAATACATATTTATTTTTATTTAAATAAATTTAATTAAAAATTTGGTATTTTCCATGTATTTTACAATGCTTTTTTTTTATAATAAACATTTAAATACATCGTTAAAAATAATTTCTTTACGAACCAAGTTTCCTTATATTTTATGCATATCCACGGAAGTATTAGAATAATCGAACAACCATTAAACCGGAGATCCATTTTATTTGTCGGTTATAACGAGCATTGGGCGGGAGAGTTGGCACTTATGACATTGTTTATAAGTGCAATTTTTCTATTTATCAAACTGAAGTATTGACTGATCATCGCGTATTGTCAAATCAATCATCAATCATTTCAAGTTTCATCGAAATTTACTTTTTAAATCAATTATTTTCTCGTTACAATAATACCGTTATACCAACGTTAATATCAGCGGCTTCATCTCGAGCACTGAAACTTCGTTAGCATATTATATTTATGATATTATTATTATTTTATCATCTCATTTATTCTTTTGAATAAGAGTAAACGTTGACATTATTATGAAAGTCGTACCATTTTAGAGTTGATGAGAATTTTTCTTTACTTTACATTCGCGTTATTCGGCAATTTGCATAAAAATGAAGATCTTTTTTTATTTTAGTTTTTTTATGGATAAACTATTATCGAATATTGGGATTTCAATTTATATTATTTTTTTCTTTTTTTTTATATATTTTCATAGTTTAATTTTTTATATATTTTACTCTGAAAAACTAACTCCTAACTAACTAATATAAATATTTGATATTAAAAGTGTATTTTAAAAAAATTATTTAATTGCTGCAAATGTAATTTGATCACGTCTAATCTAGTTTGTTAAAGCATTAGAATAATATTTATTAGACTATAAAACACCAAATAGAAATAAAACTATTATAGACACTATTATGAATTATAGATTTTAATACAAATTATTCTAATATTATTAATTAAAGCTTCATTAATACAAATTAATAATATAAATATGTTTATATTTATATTTTCAAATATATAATCAGATATATGTTATTTTTTCATTAAAATATTTGTGTATAACTATAATAAAACACGATTAAATTTTTCTTTTAAATAATAAATTTTCATGTATTTTGCATTCGCAGAGCATTTACCATTTTTTGTGTTGTTTTAATAAAATCAGGCTTATGTTCATTCGGATATCCATGCTTCGTATGTAATGACTTGTACAGCGTATGTAGAAATGATTCCGAAATTCTTTTCATTTTTATGTAATAGAATTAATCTATAAGATATTAAATACTATTATTGATCAACTTATAATATAACAAAATTTTAAATTAATAATAAATTTATGTCAAGAAAACAGTTAAAGATTCGTAATTGAAATACTAATGAATTTTGAAGCGTAGGTAAGCTTGTTAAACTGCATAATTTTTAAAACTAACTAAATAGATATTAGTATATTAATTATTTTATATTTATTTATTTAAACTGGATAATATATTGATGACGCTATAAATATTTCGATGCAAAGTCCCATAAATAGATATTTGTTCATTTTATTTTATCTTTATTATCGACTTTATTATTATATCAAGACATATTTATTATGCAATATATTCATTAATTTACATAAAAAATATTATTTTTAAATTTGAAAGTTAATTTATGATTTTATTCAATTACAATATTAAAAATACATTATTGATATGAAATGACTATATTATTTTTATAATAAATGAAATTCAGTTATTTGATATAGAGTTTTTGATTGTGAAATAAAATAAACTATTTGATATTTCTTTACATTTAGCTATAATTAAAGGCTTTCATTTATAGTTAGAGATTATAATGTAAGTATAATATAATGTATAAGTAAAATAGAATGAATATGCAATAACATTGATTTTTTTATCTTGTTTTTTTCAATTAAAGCACATCTGTATTTCTAAATTTGTTACTTTTATATAAATTTTTTCAAATTAATTATAAATTAGTGTTAAATATTCATTAATACGTAAATAGATATTTATCGAAAAATATGCTTATTATTGATTAATATAATTAATTTTTAATAACATTTTTTCCTATTATTAATTTATATAAGAATATAGGTTCGAGGTTTATGCGTCATTTTTATTACATTGGATAATAAATATATTCTTGATTTTCCGTTTTATTCCAACAATCACGTACAATTCGACTGTTGAACATGACATTTATAAATATCACTTCCTCCCTTTACAATTGCGTTTGTTACCTAGTATCATCCTCGCAAGATGAAAATGCCGTGCTGGATACTGCAGGTGTAATCCCACATACTCAGGCTTTAACTTTTGCCGCATTCTGATAAGCTCCACTGTCTTCTTTTCTGATTATTAGCTTCGAACAATTTGTCGAGCATCCATTCAATGCCAATATATCGCATAGTAATTATCAATTTATATTCGTTAATAGGACTATTATTAGTTTATTGATGAATCTAGTTAGATATATTTATCTCAGGTCTATTGTTTATTTAATATAAATGAAACCTTAAGGCGTAAAGACTCGTAAGTGCTGGAATATGTTTAATTATAGTATATTTTCTCTCTCATTCTTTCTAAAAGACATTTCTAATAATCATCCCCTTCTTCTACATAAGGCTGGTCGCATAAGGCATAGGTTAAAAATTAACTTAAATAAATTATTTCATACTTCTTAATAAATAGACAATTCATATTGTAATAAATTGCTATCAGTTTTGAACCAATTCCTTTATACCTCAAAATTATTTATATGTTTCAATTGAATTACAAATCAATATAATAGTGCAAACCGTATCAATAGGAATTATAATTATGAATAATACAGTCAATCGAAGTTATAAAAAGTTCGTACCATTACATTTAATAGCATTACATATTGAAAAGAAGGGACAATAAATTATACAATAAATTGTACAATATTAAATAGAAGTAATGAACTTTTGAATTAATATTAATAAATATTAATATGAAGTAAGAAAAAAATTCTTTATAAATTTAAAGTGAGATAATTGAAATTATAACTTTAAATTGTATTTGCATTGTAGCTAAAATTGATTTTATGTCTTCGTATATGGAAAAGTTAGTCATTTTTTATATTGCCTAAATGCCTGGAAACATTAAGGAATTATCATAATGACTTTATATTTGTATAGTATATCTAAGTACATGTAAATTTGAATACCCTTTTTTTATATTTTCTGTCAAAGTATGTGGTAACAAAAATAA